ATCTGTCACGTAAAGCGAAGCAAAAGTTTTATGTGACATCAGCTTAAATTGCTTAGTCGATTATAGGTCCAATCCCGTATTCCTCGCCTCTGCAGACTAGCCCGGACTCGTACGGTATTGCAACTTATGCTAGACATGAAATACAACAAATAACAATAAACTAGTAGCCATAAAAAAATTACAAATTTTCCCATAAGGAGATGGTAAAACCCGGGTTTTTTATTGAGGTAAAACTCGTATTCTTGCTTTGGAAATGTATCCCACAGGTAAAATAAATCGCTTGAAATGCTCTGTTATCGAAACCAATTGATTACAGCTGCTCTACGCATATATAGCTCAATAATATTGAAGTTAGTCAAAACCATAATATTGAGGGTAAATTGGTCGTTTATTTGAAAAATCCAATTAGATTTAGTTGAACAAGGGGCAAATTCTTGTTATTTGAAAATGTGAAGTGAAAGAAATGTTCATCACTTCACATAAAATTACGATTCTGTTTTCAAACCAAAATAAATTTATTCTTCAAAAAATTTTCACTGTCAAAACTTTTTTCCATAGAGTTTTGTAGCTGTGAAAAAGAAAAGTTGGGCAGTTTTCTCAAATCCATCATCTTGTGGTAACGAATATCCTTTAACTCCCAATAAATTACCAAATAATTATTTGCTAGATGTTAATGAAAAAGCCTTTCCTGATCGAGGATCGCTTTAACTTTAGCTGTGTGCTAATCGGTAAAACTTTTCTCCGTGGTGAGACGGGGTAGAATAATTTTCTTCGGTTTAAAGATAAATTGAATTTTTTGTGGTGCCAAATGCAAAGTAAAATTTTGAAAGTTGAAAAACCAAATAAACGCTCGTGCGAAAGCTCTATTATTGTGCGTTACTGAAATTGTTAAAATTTATTATTATTATTGTTATTCACCATTTCATAGAACGACATTTGTCCACATCGATGTTTTCAATGTTTGAAAGAAATACCTGATTATAATAAATCATAATGGTTTTGGCCCTTCAAGGGCTTGAGATCAAAAATTACTTATGCATAAATGAGGCACGTTTTTAAAGCCTTTTAAAAATTGTTAAGAGTTTTGCTGACGCATGAGTAATTAATTTGAATAAAACAAATTATGTATAATGCTTTTGTCTCTTCAAGGGCTCGATATCAAAAATTACTTATGTATAAATGACGCAGAAAACAGTTTTCTCGCTCACTCTTGATAAAATCGGCACCTTCAATAAGGCACCGTGTGTATGTGTGTAATATTTTATAAGGGAGTGTCAAAACTCTAATGTCACTAAATAATAATTATTGAGTCATGTAAATATTACTAAGATTTTTGCTGACCTATGAATACTTACTTAATTTTACCTTTTTACGCGCCAAATAAATG